AAGGATTCTTGTGAATTATTCAGTGTATAGGACGCACTCTGCTGGTTCTGTTCCACAGTTGCTATGTCATCTTCAGTAGGAGTAGATCTTGGTGCCTTCTTTGGGCGTGAACACCAACTTTGGGAGATATTATTTATCTGGATCAGGTATAATTACTCCATTCTCTTTTTGGTTCAGATCTGGTTCGTTGGTTCAAGTGGGATCCTTGAATCTTGATTCTGAAATTAGGGAATGTGATTCCCAGTTGAAAGGTAAGTAGAAAATTTTTGAAATTCACCCACCCATCCCGCAACTGTTTTGGCGTCCATACGATAGATTCTACCATCCCTTTCAATAGCATGATCACAGAATCAGAATAGGGGTAGTTTATTTGGTACCTGAAAAAATTTTGAGTATTGTTCTATCACTGCCTATATGCGGGGGCAATAGAGCAATGGTGGGAGTCCTTTATTTCAGCACTGAGACACATGACATACAAATGTCCCCCTTGTTTAGGGTCTTCACCATTCGGGTTGGCTTCAGGAGCTTCCATTCTTTAGCCTGAATGCCCTTCAATGTGTGGCTTCCTTGAGTATTTCGATACTATAGAGACATCTTAGTAAAATCCCAGGTTACAGGACCCAAGGTCCTTAACCATTGTGCCCCTAATATAGTGTCATATCCTTGTAAAGGAAGCATATAAAAGTCAGTAGTAATGGTGGTACCTTGAACTTGAAGTTGCAGATTGAGACATTTACCTGAGCCATGTAGCTTCTCTCCATTTGCTACCATTACGTCAAATGAAGACTCATAGGTCATCGGGATGTGGCATTTCTTAGCGAACAGGGGGTCGAGGTAGTTGTGTGTCGGCCCACTATCAAACAACATAACCAGTGGTTGTTGTTGAAGGGTGGCCCACAACCTCTTCATTTGAGGGGAGCTCAAGTCGATTATGGCGTGCAATGAGATTTCTGGTGGGGGGTCCTCCTCTATTACTTCAGATTCGGCCTCCTCTATGTCCTCACCTTCTTCCACCGTGCCATCCATCCAATAGAGTTTTGGATTCTTACACCGGTGATGGGGGGAAGTATTTTTCATCACAATAATAACATAGTCCCTTCTCCTAACATTCTCGAGCCGTTGCCGAAGTTTGCCGCTTCCCTTCCATCCCTACCTTTGTTGCTACCTGGACAGGAGTGGTGGGAGGTCGTGGGTGAAACTGTTCAACCCTGACAACTTGCCTATGCAGGTTGATGGCCTATTCTTCTAGTTGAGCCAGGCAGAACGCCCTTGCTAAGGATTCTTGTTCGAACCACTCCACACCCACTCTAATCTCAGGCTTTAAACCAATGACAAAAAACCCCACCAAGTAGTTTTTAGCCAGTCCAGTCACCCAATTGGAGAGGCATTGAAACTCCTTCATGTAAATTTGGATCGAGGTCGTCTGGGTAAGTTTTGAAAGCCTCCCTACATGGTTGAGGCCTTGGGAGGTGTCGAATCATGCGTCGAGATCCATCACCAGTTGCCGCCAAGAAGGGTTTGGTTGGTAGGCCTTGAACCAGCAATACCAGTCCACTACCTTGCCGTCGAAGGCCAAGCTTGACACTGCTACCCATTGATCCTTCAGAACCAAATGAAGCTCGAAGTACTGCTTAACGAGTACCAGCCATCCTTCCAAATTATCTCCTCCGAAACGAGGGAGATTGAGTTTAGCAGCCTTGAGGAAGTTTGTCGTGGCCTATGCTAATGAAGTCTTCTCTGCCACTCTCGAGCTCTGGTCGAGAATGGGTTGTGATACTCTGTCCTCTCCCCCATCCAAGGTCATGCTAGTTCCCCACCTCGACTCAACAGTTCAAGAATGGCAGCCAGCTGTTGGCTGATCTCATGTCTCTTCTCCATGCCATTCATTCTTTCTTCTAGGTTAGACATTCTGGATCCCACAGGGTTAGCCTGCTCTGATACCAGTATGTTACGAACCTCCTCCCATTGCTGGAGAGAGAGGCTAGGATTCCCCCAAGCTATGGTTGCGGCTGCTCAAGGGGGCTAGGTCTTCTGAAGAGGACTCTACAGAAACATATTCAAGGTAAAATTGGCATGCCCTTATTATCGAGAGTTGGCTTTTAATAGAGGTCTCCAGGAGACCGTCACATCACAAAATTGTTACAACTGTCGGGGGATGATTCCCAATTCAAGAAAAGTTTTAGAAAAGGCTACCTAACCATTGATCCCTCCTCCATGAGTGACCACGTGTCCTGCTGATGGTCTGGGTTATTGGGGGGACCCGTATCAGATAGAGCTTTAGCTTTAGCTTATAAACAGTGGAAACTTGGTATTTCTCAACAGAGAATGGCACTATACCAACCTCCATTCTCTTAACAACATTTGCTACAGTGAATTATAATTTTGCAGCTAGGCGCTTAGCATCATCCCTAGACCAATAAATATAAATATATGAGCACCTTTTGTGTAACAAATAAATATATAAAAAATTGTAAAGTCTTCATATAGTGTACCCAAACCGAAATTAGTTTCAACCTTAAACTGAACTGAGCAAAAACAAGATAGTGCATCTATACTCAACCAAGGCTATCTCTAAAAACGCTGCAACGCCAATTGGTTGGTTTTGTTATGGATTCACCTCAACCTTATTACGGTTGACCTGACCCTAACCCAAAAAGAGTTGGGTCAATGTGGGTTTTCAATTAAACCCAATCAACTAACATCCCTAGGGTTGAGTAAAAGGGGAGGTCTTAATATTTCACAAAAACCATAGGGGAGGTTGAGTATAGATCAACTTTTTTTCTAGATTCCATCACCAGTGGCAGTTTTATGTACTTGATTTCATATTTTAAGAGTTACTATTTTCTAGTTTGTGGTATAATGGAACAAGTTTAATTATCTTAAAGGCTATAGTAATTTAAACAGTACTTGAAGTTCAAAATATTGGAACTAGCAGATTCAACAAATTTCTTGCAGCCTGAATGTTTTCTTTTTTTTTTTTATTAATCTTGCAGCCTGAATGTTGAGCAACAACACATCCAATTGTATTATTTTTGGAGTCAATATATAGGTTTTATAGTTACACATCCAATAAGACCAAGATATTGTGAATCCTATCTGTTTTGGGAAAGTTGAGTTATGACCATTTTATTCGTAGTACAGGGGGCCAAGTCTCACATCCCTTGAACTACAGGGTGTATTTGCCCCATCTTTTTAGCTATAGAGATGTGTTCAAATCAAACTCCTTGATGAATTAATGTTTATAATACCTTTGATACCTTAATCTAGTTCAATCACTCAAGTATGTTTTAGGCTTGCATTTTTCTTGTTTATTTTTTTGGTAAGAAGGCTTGCGTTTTTTTCTGGAAGTAGAGAACAAGCCTGAGGATGGCTACTTTGGGTGTCTCAGAGGAAGGAAGAGCTTGTGTGAGAGTTTATGGGGCCTCAATCAAAGTGGCAGTTTTGGAGGAGGGACTGAGGAAGCGTGAAATCTTTCTACCCCAATGCCTAGTTATTGGTTTTCCAGGTTTAAGCCCTCCTATTCAAGAAGTGGAGAGTTGGGCTTCCTTGATGTGGAAAACACAGGTTAAGCCACAAGCGAGGCAGTTGGAAGGAAACAAAGTTCTCCTAATTTTCTCTTCAGAAACGGAAGCGACTGGGGCATTACTTTCCGGTAAGGCATGGTTCAATGGTTCTCGTATTACCCTTTCCAGGTGGAGCTCCTTAGGTTGCAGCGATAGGCAAGCAATCGGATATGGACGCTGGTGGGTTAGAGTATTTGGAATACCTCTCCATGCGTGGTGTCCTGCCGTTTTCAAGGAGCAGGTCAGTCTATGACGTTCCAAAATTTGTTGGTTTAGAAATTCTGGGCACAAGTTATGTTCTTGGCCTTGCAGTCGAAGATGGTGATAGTAAAACAGGGAAGCGGAACTCTGCTTCAGACCCTTTAAATGGAGAGTGGTTAAGAAGAGGTGCAACCTGCGACACGGAGAGGCTTTTTCGATTCTCAAGCGTTGGGGATCGTCGCTCCGATCAACCAACATCAGCGGTAATTAGAGGTGCCCAAAGACCTTCACCTATTTCGAAGGAAAACAGAGGTCCAAAACGACGTCGTAGAAGGCGTCGCAAAAGGCGTAAGGAAGAGGATCCACTAGTGTTCCAATCGGTGGATAGGGAAGGGGTTGTATCCTCGACCGCTGGTAGTCTCTTGGATAGCCCATCACCATTAACCCTCCCAATCGTTCCTCTATCTATCGTCTTCCCGCGTAAGTCACCGGTGAAGGCGGGCAATTCAAATTTTGAATCATTGCTTCGTCCCGATGAATAAGCACGCATTGAGAGATCAAGTGGGCCCATCATCTTAAGCCCAAACCCAGACAGAATTCTATCTTTTAAAGGGCCTCTTACTTCAGGTTATTCAAATGTGGTCCATACGAGGCTTATTGGCTTGCACTCGTCATCAGTTCTAAGCCCATGTGTCAGTGATGCAAGGAGGTTGGTTCCACTATGCACTGTGTGGAGCAGATTCAAGCCCATTCTTGGGCCCACAAAGAGTGAGGGCCCACAGACCCTCAGGGTCTGTTTGATTGCTGAGAAAGGAATGAGAAAAGGGAATATTCCTGAATTATTCTTCCTTTCTTGTGTTTGTTTACTGGTAAACAGTGTTTTGGGATGAGAAACAAGAGGGACGCGGGATCCCAAAATTAAGTGAGTGGGGTCGCACCAAAACAGTGCGACCCCGGTGAGAAAAGAAAACGCTAAGAAAATGCAAGCTGAGCAATCTAATACAAGGTGGGATGCGGTGTAAAATAGATTCCAATCGGACGAAGAAAAAAGGCATTCCCTCACGAAGGTGGCGCCCTTCGCCTTCAGGCGGTCGAGAAACATCAAAAGAGGAGGAAAAGGGGCGAAATCCGAGATCGAAACTCGAGAGTCCAAATTCCGAATAGAAAGAAGCAATAGGAAACGGAACAGAAGGGTGGTCGTCGTCGTTTTTGATCAATCGATATTCGAGTAACGAGATGGTGGCGATCTCACTGTATAGAGGAAACCTGCACAGGGTGCCCGACGTCCCTCGGCGATGGCTCATGCCAATCCCTTGCATTTCCCTCAAAGATTTCAGGATTCTCCTCCACAAACGGGAGAAAGCTCTGTTTCGCATCTCCAGCACCACCACCCCCACTAGCTCAAATCCTAACCCTAACCCTGATTTCAAACAAGAGGAAGGCATTGGAGACAATGGTTGTTCCAAACAAAACGGGAGAAAGCTCTATCTCGCTTCTAAGCCCCAATCCCAGCCAACCATCGCCAGGAATTCTGAAGATGCGCCATCCCAGCATGGAACAGTTGAACATGCCAAAGATCATAATGAAGCAGACTGTGATCCTTGTGCTGAGCAATCCAGAGAACTCGGTGGCTCTATTGGCGTTGAAAAACCATTTCGGGGGATACCCGACGCCGACGCCGACAATGAATCCGACGATCTCTACCTCACGACGGTTAATTTCATGTCTCAATGGTTGTCGGCTATCTCAGGACAGTTGAAATCTCTAGTAATTTCGGATTTCTGGATCCAATCTTGCTGGCGGCGATCCAAAGTTTTGTCTCTGATTATTGGCGACAATCAGCTCAAAAAAATTTTCTTGCAAAACAAACACTAGAAAGTGGATTTTCTCACAAAATTTTTTTCAGCAAACAAACACATTATAATTAACTAAGAAAATAAATTTTCCTTTTCTCATCCCAACATTTTTCATCCCATCCTTTCTCAGTCCAATTTTCTCAGCAATCAAACAGACCCTGAGTGTCAATCACATTTGAATCCTTCGGAGGAAAACCCTACTCTTTCTTCGGATTTGGTGGGTGGATCCCAAGAATCGGAGAGAGGCATTAGTCAGGTGGAGAAGTTTATGAGCCTCGGGAAATTGCTTGGGGTGTCATTAGATGAATTGCAGTACGTCCAGGTTCGTGAGTAGTTCAAGTCAAAGGTTTCAACGTGGCCAAACTGATTCAACCAATCACAGTAGACAGCCCTGTTGCAGAAGATGAGACTGAATCCTTGAGCTATAGCTCGGATTGGTCATCCGGTAGTTTGGATTACCTCCCAGGTAGCAGAAAGTCAAAATACTTGGATTTGTTCTATGATGTAAAGGTTACAAATCCGTCTAGTGGCTTGAAAGGTAATAGGAGTGTGAGAAGTGTAAGAGGAAGGGGTAGACGAGGCAGAGGAAGATTTGCAGCCTTTTCTTGTTTTTGGTGTGCTGAGTTAGGATAGTACTTTTGTCCTATTTAGGTTGCTTTTCTCTTTGGGTGGATTTTTGGTTCTAGCCTTTGTTGAGGCTTGAAGAGGTCTCCGAAGGCCTGCCTTGTCTTGGGCTTGGCGGTAGAGGCTTGTAGAGGCCTCATTTGTATACTTTTTCCTTTTTCTGTTATGCGCTTTCAATAAAACTTTACCTTACCTTTTCAAAAAATATGCAATCATCTCTAAACAATGATGGCTAATGGTATGAAACATTCCCTTTGTTCCCCAAGTAAAACTAGTTATTTAGGTAATTCACATGCAATAACCACCACCACTTATTGCCAATATCTCCATGCCCCCAACACATTGAGAACCTTTACACTCTTGAATCCTCCTGCATTTTGTGAAATTGGTCGGGTAGACTTAGTGCATCACTACATTGTATTTGTCTTGTCTTGAAATGCCACTGTTGTTTAGGATCACAGTTCCTTTATCTCTGTTTTACTTTGATGTTTGATCCATGATAGTGTTTGTTGCTGTTTGATCGTTCTCAGGTATTTTCCTCAAGGCATTGACATATACTTTGAGAACATAGGAGGTAACATGCTTGATGCAGTTCTTCTCAACATGAGACTCCATGGCCGCATTGCTGCATGTGGGATGATCTCCCAATATAACCTAGAAAAGCCTGAGGGAGTTCACAAATTGTCTTGTCTTATCACCAAACGAATCCGCCTAGAAGGATTCATTGTCTTTGACTATTATCACCTCTACCCCAAGTTTTTAGAGTTTATTCTCCCATACACCAGAGAAGGGAAAATTGTCTATGTAGAAAACACAGTTGAAGGTCTTGAGAGCGGGCCCGCAGCTCTGATAGGACTCATCACCGGGCGCAATGTTGGAAAACAAGTTGTAGTTGCTCGTGAATAATCAGTCACTGCATGAGTCTTCAATCTTCACCGTTGGTTGATTTGATTTTCTTTCACTACAGGAAGCTTAAAAATTTCAATCTATAGTATGTTAATACTCCATCTTAATTTTATAGCGAGTGAAGACTATTTTCAGCTCCTTTTAGAAGGGAAACAGGTCAACCGTTTTGATCAAGAAAGAAAAAAAAGGTTAAGTTCGTTGACCATATATCTGCACATTGTATTATTTCATATAGGTCTCACAAAATTAAAAAAAAAAAAGTTGAAATTAAAATTAGAAAATTACAAATTTACAATGTACAGGAGAGAGAGAGAAGATATTTTGTGATGTTAAGCCAGTATTGGTTATCTAAGTTTCAGGTATCATGACTCTCCGGTATCATAGTGGGGGCTTGTTTATTTTTTTATGTTAAAATTAAATATTCTAACATAATCCTGTTTATCATGACTTGAAAAATAGTGGACTAGCAAGGGGTGCAAGTTAGGTTGCCCTGATTTTAAGAATTTCAACTACATTGGGCCCATCAGTAAACAAATTCCCAACCCAACTTTCTTGGGTCAAAATCAAATCTATGTTTTTATCAGCAGGATATTGTATCAAATTTAGATTATCGGTTCAAATTTGAATAGACCCGTCTAGATTCGATGCAATCTGTTTGCATGGAGCTAACATTATACACTTGCTGGAGTTTTCGACAGTTTCAATTGGCATAAAAAAAGAAAAACTTTAATTCCATTCAAGGTTCAAAATATCGGCCCATATCAGCCGATATGTATTGTTTCGGGACCTCTCCAATACGTCCCTACAGTGGATGTATCAAGGTTCTGACCGGTTCAGGGGGTGGAGGAGCCTGAAACCGGCCTCCCTGAACCGATTTAAAAAAAAAATAAAAAAAGTAAAAAAACAGTATCAATATTGCACGATATGCCCCTACCAACGTATTGGGTGTATCGATATTTTGAACCTTAATTCCATTCTTTGTATAATGTTTATATGTGAAAATCACTAGAAATACCATAAATTATAGTATGGAAACCAAATTACCCTAAATGCAAAACTGTATTAATAAGGTTTTAAGTTTAAAACAAAACCAAATATGAATATAAAGTCGTACAAAAAAGAAAAAGGAATGGTTAATATGACTCGCATAAAAAGACGTTCTCTCAGAAAAGATACAATAAACTACAACATTGATCACATTGGAATAACAGAATTGTAATGCTCGCCAAGTCCAAATGCATGCCTATGATATGACAACATGATACTTGGATTAGAGGAGCCAATCTCAGTGTTAGACTTGTATTCTTGTCCCATCTCAACATCTGGGAAGGATCCTGAAAAGATCAAGATATGTTTTCTCAAGCAATGGGTCAAAGCACCCAGTTCTAATTGTCCTCCCCATGCTGCTGTTGATTCCACTTCTCTACAATATTTTTCAAATCTTTCTGAAAGTGAATTATCATAATCTTCTTCCATCTTATTATCTGACAGAAAAAAGGGAAGGAAATCTGATGCATGTTCCCTCATATAAGCAGCCACCATTTGCCGAAGTTGTTGATAATTGTAAGGTGAACAACCTCCTGAAAAATAGGCCAGTTGATCCTCAACAGCCCGATAGAGACAGTGTCCATCTGGCTTTATTTCATTAACCTTCAATCCGAGGGGCTCAATCTTTCTCTCCAATTTCTCGTTTTCAATTATACGATCGCTAACAATGTTACTCTGTTCTTCCCGTATTCGTTGCTCTCTTGTTGCTTCTTGCTGAGCTTTTTTCTCACGCCTCTTTACACTCCTACTGGGTTTTGAATTGTCACGTTGACTAGTCACAGATACTCCAGCTATTGCCTTCACCAAAGTATCAAGATTATTGTTCTCCATGACATTGTTATTGGTATAGCCTAATGAAGCAAGTTCCTCTGCATGCTTTTCTTTGAGTTTCGAAGAAAGTCGAGATATCTCATCCTCCACCTGTTTCTTCTTGGCCTTCTGTTCAGCCTTGCTTCCTTTAGCAGCTGCCTTTTTTAAAGCAACTTCCTTGTTTTGTAACTGGGTGATCTCTTTCCTACAAACAATCATATCTTGAAGTTTAGTAATTAAGAATATTTCCTTAAAAAAGTAATTTGATAAAACAATTTCATGGAGAAGCTGAATCACATATTGGTAGTTAGAGAATAGCCACTGTAATTTTCTTTGAAAAAGGTAAAAAAAAAAAAAACAGAAAACTCTTTTTGCAAGCCATGGTTTTTCAGTTAAAGCTAAAAACCATTTACTAGCACAAGGTCATAATGGAATCGGCATAAATGACCGACCTTCCTACATGCCCTTGAAGGTGAATGCGCTAATAGTACAGCAAAATTACTTATTTAATGGATCTTATTGATTATATTGTTTCTACCAAAAATTGGATTTGAGTCCTCATTACTGAAACATAAATAACAGATGCTAGGTAACTGAAAATCCCTCCTCTTCAGTTGGTCAATAGTCAGAATGTTGTTCACTACTACCACCCAAGCAAAAGCCTTAACCATAGGTGGGGTAGGGTTGCCTCAAAAACCTTTTACCTCAGTTCTATTAGCCAGATTACTTATTAAAGCATTATAAAAAGACCTTACAATGAATAAACCATTCTTAGGCAGTGCTTATAGAATAAGTGCTTAAAAACAAGTGCTTATTCGAATAAGCACTTATTTGCATTTGTCACCCAGCTTTTTCAAGTGTGCACTTATTTCATATTGGGTGTTTAGTACTCTCTCTCTCTCTCTCTTTGGACAAGGATCGAAGTGCCTCTGTTCTTCCGGACAGTAGCCATGAGGGAACAGAAAGTTGACGCTCGACTTCGACTACAACTACTCGTTCAGGTAAACTTTGCATAGTGTCGAATCACGACTGCTAGGAGTGGTCAAGCATCTACTACAGCTGTTAGTCAGAGGTAGCAAATAGACAAGAATGAGTTTTTACGGGGTGAAGCCAAAGAACTGAAAGCAAATGAAGGCAGATCCTTGATAATGATAGGTTTCTGACACAATAAAATCTCAAGAGATGTAGATGGATCCCGAGTCAAGACCCATACCCTCAAATATCTGAATTGTGGAGAACAAAACATGGATCTTTGGAAAGAAAATTTAAAATAGAGATGGGTAGCTGGCAATGGCCCCGATCAGGCACAACAATGAAAACCCCAATTAAAAAAAAGTTACAGATGAAGGAAAAATGACAGAAGGATCTTGTGTGAGGAGGGAGTGGAGGTTGATCAAGATGAAGATGAACAAGGGAACAGAAACTTGCTCGACTTCAACGCTCGCTCAGATACATCCCCCTCTCTCTGCTTCCAGTGACGAGGATATGATGCCACCAACCCAGCGGCAGAAACAGAACAGGGGAGGACAAATCAGTTCAGGCCTGGGTTGCCTGGAACGAAGGAAGAAAAAGAACGAATAAGAAAGGAAAGAAAGAAAGAAAACAAAAAACAGAACAGCGACGCCTTCCCTCTCTGACCCAGGAGAAATCCGGCATTCAGCTCTGCCACCGCTGCTGCTCCTGTGGATCCTGTTTCTGTGGAGAAAAAAACCCATAAGGTGAATACACGCTCTGGCATGCAGCCCTGTTTCAGCAGAGAAGAAATCCACTGCTGCTCGTGCTCCACCAGATTGATATCGAAGAACGGAATCTGGAGAGAAAATCAGTCACCGTTCAAACTGATTCTTCAACTGCAGTACCTTTGAACTGGGATTCTTCTAAGGGCACAAATGGAATTGTAAAAACTAAATGGGGATAGTTTTGGTAGAAAAAAAATCGAATAAGTGCTTATTGTTTAAGCACTTAAAAACAGATGGAAATTTGGGCTTACAAAATAAGCACTTGTTTCAGGCTTATTTCCCAAACACCAATAAGTGCTTAATGGTGTGGTCCCGGCCGAAACAAGCACTTATTTTTAAACACTCCCAAACATGGCCTTAAATTCCTTCCACTACGTAGCATCAGGTTCCCCAGGAGAAACAATTCCTTTTTCAATCTTTCCTAGAAGAACTCTTTTCAAATAATTCAGTAACAATTAATCAAAGAATAAAAATCTGGTGTTAAATAAGAGAATAGCAAAGATATAAGAATAAGAGAATGAAAGAAAAGGAGAGAAGAGAGAATCAAATAGATAGTGGAGCACAAAATGACCCCCCGCCTCCAATCAAAAGCATGGTTATTTCCACTCTCAAATAGAAACATTCTTTTTTAAACATGTCTACCTACTCTCAAAAAAAAGTATGAGCTTCAAATGGTATTTACCTCCACTAAAAAGGAAAAAAAAGCTCATTTCAAATGGTGTAGGATCCATAAAGTGGGTTAATGTATAGAAATAAAACCTGATTTAATCTCTTATATTAAATAAAAAATCTATATAACAAAAAAATATCAAATAAAAAAACCTAAATTTACAATGGTCCCGTACTTGGTACAGGGTGATCATTCTCTAGTGTCTTCTATAGTTGTTGCAAATATGTGAAAAGTTACATAAGTGTCCTTAGTAAGGTGGCAGAAAGAAAGGAGCTATAAAAAACTAAAACAGGCCCATGGCCCAATAAGAATAAGTTCATAAAGTAAAAAAGAAACATAAGAAAACTTATAAAGAAAAAGAAGGGTCCATTTGGTTTGCAGTCGGAATCAGAATCAAAATCCCTTGGAATTGGAATCTGAATGGCTTATTACCAGTCTTTTTGGTTCAGACAGAAATCAGAATCGGAATTGGAATAAGTTGGAATGGGATTTCATTCCCAAGGGAGGGGGAAGGAATGGGGGAATGCCATTCCAGCAGGAATGGGAATGGGATTCCGATTCCGCCCAACCAAAAAGTTGGAATCGGAATGACCAATTCCAATCCCAGACCCCTATTCCCATGAACCAAACAAGACCTAAGAAACTTAAGGAAAAACAGCTAATACTTTCAACACTCCCTAAAGCAAGAAATTCTTGGCCTTTCAGAAATTTCACTGAATGGTGAAAAGCACAAAGAACCTTAGTGCTGGAAACACTTGAAAAAATCAGCAATATGCATCACCAAGTATCTTCAACTGAAATAAATCATAACCAAAGAACCAATCCCAATTCTTGTAATTGTTAGATCTGATGTTTCTCCACCTTCAACTGGACATCTGAGTTCTTCCCCATAGCACGGAAAACAAGACTGTCGTAAACACTCTATAGGTCTTGGAACTTCAAGAATCCACCCATCTAAGCTCTAAAATGATTAAGCATACTAGAAATACCTATGTCCCACAGCAGATTCCATCCAATATTGAACAAAAAACTTTCTCTGATTCTTCGTCATTTTTTTGGGGAAAGTATCAAGACTCCTTCCTTAAGACAGACCAAATTTCAATTAATTCTCCAAAAAAATCATCTAAAACCAGGCAATTCAACAATGGATAATTTCTCCACCAATTATCAGCCAACAGACTAAAAACTCACTCCCAAAAAACACTGTAGGTATAGTCCCAATTTGAGTTGACACTAATATAGAGAGGGAGAAGAGGTGGGCACTTGATCCCTAACTTCACAAAAAGTCTCTCTATCACTTCCTACCTTTGTAAAAATATGCAAATGACTAACAAAGCCAAGTCACCATCCAGAGAACAATTTTCAGAAATATACGTAAGTAAATTTCTGATTTTCTTTTGAAATTTGGGCAAAATTTCTACAACATCATCCTTGGCATCAAAAAATTCTAAATGATTCTCCAAAAATATTCTAAAAATCAGGCAATTTAAGGATGCAACATGATTACTATTTTTGAAAATGAAATTACTATCTACAATAATTTACAAACTTGCTATATAGTAATCCCCATAACAGGAACCCCAAGAAGAGAAAGATTTAGAATAGGGAGATTAAATTAACAGGTCTAGCAAGGGGGAAATCAAAGGCACAAAGGAAACTAAACAAAT